GTGGCGTGGATTGGTGTCGGAAATGCACGAAATGGTACGGATATGTGACACGTATAGGCACATTTTATAATTTAAAAACGAGGCCGAGCGAAACGAGGCCAAGAGCAATAAATAAATAAAATCAACTTTATATATATTCATAAATTATTCAAAAATAATCTTACATTTTGGAGTCTATTTTATTAAAAATAAGTAAATATTATATCAGATATTATAACGATATACTATTATATTGCCTACTATTCTAATGGTTAGTTTTGTTGAAACTAGGTGTCGAAGCCGCCCGCATGTGCAATCTCTAGTATATAGATATAAAAAAACATATATTATGAAACTTTTCATTAAAGTTATCTATTGCAATCAAAACATTTCGAATATAAAATCGGGTACCTTGATTCATAAATTGTAATTCATAAACCCGATCAACATATTTTTCATATCTTCTTGCTCCCGTGATTATCGTATACCCGGTGAGTGTTGTTAAATCTTGCTTCTAGTGGAATTTTTTCATCACGATAGTATATCTTATTCTATATGTGTTAAGAAAGAGAAAGCGAATTAAAATTAATAATTTAAGTCTATATATGTATATAAACTAGTGTTGATTCGGCTTGTGATTAACGTGCTGATTCGACTTGTGATTAATATCGTTATAAAAAATTTTGTGACAATACCTAAAAAAAACACCTCTATAACAACCATTCACTTTCATTGGCATTTCGGATTGGGATTTCATAATTTTCTTTTTTACAATGCCATAGTGAAGTGTTTCTATTATTACCTATAGTGAAATTAGATGATGAAACGTTTAAAATCAAGTTAAGCGTAGAAAAATGTAAAAGGTAAAAAAAAAAAAAAATCATAACCTACCATAATTATGTAAGTCTCGATATTTTTGCTCGCCGTTTTTCAACAACAAAAGCCCTAAATACTAGAAAAAAAAAATAAACAAAAGGGAGAATTAGTATAAAAGTACTAAAGGAATACAACGGATATATAAAAGTTCTCCCAACATTTTATATAACTTACATTCCACGCTTTCGATGCTGAATATTCAAGATATATTTCACGATTCGTATCAATATATCAGAATATTGCTGGCAAGTTCAGTCTGTTCAACGATTCGTGCAACAAATCCGAATATGTCAGCCTTCGTAACATATCGATAAAATTTCACACGGTTCGTAGAAATAATATCGAAAAATGATACGAACCCACGGCAACTCTTGTATTTCCATGTGAACCTATAATATTTTATTAATTTCACGATTCGTAGAAATATGATAAAATATTACAGATTTATAACAGTTCCAGCGTAATATAAATTACTCCAGAAGTGTTAGGCGAGCAATCGAAAAGCGTAACCGATCTCTCATGCAGGACCAATGGACCTTAATACCTACTTTTTCGTATCGCTTGTTTCGTTTGTTTATAGGGTCGAGTGTTTTGTTTGTCATTTAGAAAGATAAAAATATGCTAAATGACTTTAAAAGTGTATAAATAATATGGGGTTTTTAATATGGGTTTAATACGAGTAATACGTACAAGTACAGAAGTAAACAAAAAAATCAATCAGGGGTACATCAACAACTTACGTAATATTCATTGATGATCTAAGCAAGTTCGACCAATCAAAATTAATCGCAGATCAGCGGCTGAAGCTGGAAATGATTTAAAAATTTTAAAAATATAAACCCTACCATGATCCAAAATTCACTTATACATTTTTATTATCAAAAAAAATGCACCTCAAAAATTTTTTAAATTTTCATTTTAAAGTATTTAAAATTTCCAGCTTCAGCTGTTTCTAGCTTCAGCCGCGACAATAAATTTTACATTTTTTTTTTAACCTTTGAGCGAATTTTTCTCGACGGATCCACTTCGACTTTCCGATTAATACCGAAATTAGTAGGATTAGTACTACTGAATCGACCAAAATTACACCTCCAACAATAAGGAACTAAAACGTCGAATGGTGAGGCGGATATTAATTTGGCGCAGGTCTAAGGCGTCTATTAAGGGTCGTTACGTAAGGATTTCGATGCAATTTCTAAAGAAGGTTTTGGGTTTGGACTTTTATTAATTTATTTGTGTAGGGAGCAAATTACACACTTCGTAATTACTTTCGACAAGAAGAACTTGGCCTCTTATTTATACATATCGGCCGATTTGGTTTGACCCCAAAATCAGCCAATCATGATCGAGGATTATCAAAAAATTTTCCACGAAAATTTATTGCAAAGCGAATTT